TATATTCCTATTTTACACTTAGCTCTGAATAAAAAAATAGAGTAAAGGTATTTTGGATGCGTGAATCTATCACAGCGTTGACAAGATGATAAATGTAGATATTAGAGACATGGCCGCTGAGGTTGTCGGCTTGTATCGCCCCTCCGAGCCCCATCAAGCCCGGCATGTATAATGCATAGTAACCGCGGTACGGTCCGCGCAAAAAGTACAAATCACCAATGCAAATGTAGTTTTCCGTAACCTTGAATCCGGTGACCGAACGCGGGTACACTTCAGGCCAATGCAATTGGCACAATTTGACAAAATTGAAGCTAACAGCTAAAAGCGAATTATATCTTGCCATGTTGTTGCCGTCAATATTTGTATTCACTAGTTTAGTTATTTTGATTATACATGTGTTTAGGGTTCCGTACCTCGAAAGGAAACTGAACTCTTAAAGGATTAATTTGTTGTCCAATTAAAATTAATTTGTAACGTTTCTGCACTTTGTGTTCCTTAATTAAATAATTGTGAGTACAATAAAAATCTTGTTTTTGTTCATCAAATTGCTTTGATTCACTAGCTATCTATCATCATCATCATCGTCAGCTCACTATACGTCTCCACCGAGGAGCTCGGAGCCTACCCTAAGTTAAGGGTGACTAGGCCATAGTCAACCACGCTGGCCAAGTGCGGGTTGGTTGACTATCTATCATTTAACTTATTTTTTCTTTTGGTGTAATTTTTTTTTAACTGAAGTATAATAAGTCAACACATGAAAAATACACTAGCAATACATTAGACCGAATCGCCTAGAGCCCACTTACCATATCATTTTGTAAACAATGAATATAATTCCGAGGCTTTATTATTTATTCAATGGTATATTTAAGAGGTGTTTTGTTAGATTTATTTGATTTATAAATCTAAAAGGATTTATTAGCGATATTGAAGTCATAAAGTGTACGCGTACCTTTATCTGTAAGGTGTTAACATCGGACATTATTGTTATGTATATCGTTCGCATATTCAAATTACAAAATCATTCTTGCACTAAGCAAATGAAGACAAAGTAATTTCATTATCAGATAATGTGTTAGACAGTAAATGAAAACAATGATATCTCTAATTGTGTTAAGATTGTCTGTATCTAATATAATCGGTCCCAGATAAAAAATATAATAAAGATAAAAAATATGATAAATGTTATAGGCTAATTACTTTGTACGTTAGAAAAAAAAACTAAGTCGTCTTTGCAAATACTACGAGTAGAATAATACACACAGAAGACAGGCGTGAAGTGAAAGAAAATAAAAAAAGGATATTTCCCAAACCTGTCCATCCTATGTGACAAATCCTCCTCCCCTTCCCATGACTTCCTTATAAGAAAATCGTGGGAAGATGAAAATGATCTAAAATTAGACCTACGGCACGCTCAACATGCCGAGTAATGTCTGTTTAGCCAAAAAGGATTCAAATATAATAAATATAGTTAGTAGATAGATATATGTTAAATGTCTTTGGTTTAGTTTGAGTAATAAGTAATATAAGCTTAACAGTCCTTTTGTAGAATAAGAACTACTTATTGTATGCTTATTCACTATGGCATCTATGCAGTAAACTGCATATTTGCAGTAAAGACAAAACGTGACTACAAAACAAACGTTGTTAGAATAAGCAATCTATTAATTTACACTAAACAATGTATTGTGTTTTATTCATCTACGCTAACGTTCATATTCAAAATACTTAAACAGTTAGAAATAAGCAATGTACAGTAATTATAATGTTACTATTCTAATTACATACTTGTGACGTGTGAAATACTATTCTATAGAATTATCATATCCATTGACTTCTTTGTTGAGCTAACAAAGCTTTAAAGTGATGTTAGAGAAGCAATGAAATGGAACATTTACTATATTTGTCGAGTTGTCATTCAATTAGAACTCGTGACTTGTTAAATGGTTTGCCTTTGGGCCTTGACTTCAATATTTCACAGATTAACTCTGAGCGTTTGCATACTTGTGTTCGGTCATCTTTCGTTACCACTTTGCCAACCTCTTGTCACAATTGTCAAAGTGTCAAATACAGTATTTTGAGTTGCTTAAAGAGTTTACGTGGTCATGATGATTACTAATGTTCGTTAGGAGTTTTCACCAACAGAAAAACCACCACAATGTATTAAGACGAACATTCCTTAAGAGTCAGGTGTTCGGGATTGTATACGTGACCCCTCGCGCACAGACCGTATCCAACACAAAGGAATACGAAACATTGATCCAAGGGAATACCCCTATGCGAACCCCTAGCAGTCATAAACATCTTTATTCTTCATTACTGCAATCAAATACAAACTGTATAACTAACACATACAGTTGAAATTCAAATGTCACTGCGTTGTTGTCAATTTTAAATGTGGAACCCGCGTTTGCTACCAGTAACTAGGAGACTACAATATATTTCGGACGTTTTGCATACAATTAAAAAAAAAACAAAGTCAAACAGTATAAAAAATATTAGAATTAGTCAAACTAACCATCTCCATCTATAAACCACTTCACCATTTGCTTTTGCCAATTCTATAAAAAGAGTGTTAAGTGACCGTTACAATATAGCATTAAAATATTAATTTATTTTGAGTTATTAAGTAAGACAAGTTAGTTAGTAAGACTTTTTTGTAGCATATACAGCACACAATAATATTTTCTAACCACTTAGCGTGATTTATTTGTAAGATTGAACAAAAAAACTTAATAGGTTGCGTAAAAAATTAAATATTCGATCTTGAAGCGGTCATGAAGACAAGTGAAGGTTAAGCAAAATTTTATGTTAAAAAAACTAGCATCATGAGGACAAACATATAGTGCAAATTAGGTTAAGATATTTTACATGATAATGCGCGGCCAACATTTTTTTTTCAAATTGTACACAAGCGCAGTTATAAAGACGCAACGTCGTAAAGGCAGAATATGCAGATTGCCTTTGTTTAAGAGTCCCTTTGAAAGTTTTAAACAAAGGTAATGGGGAGAAATGTTTTGTTAACTTTCATAATTTCTCTTTAGCCAGCAATTAAATAATTATTGTACGGTGATAAGAAACTATGTTATTGAAGTTTAGTATTTACTGATAGTTTCATGTGCGGACGTACTACAAAATATACGTTTTATTACGATAAAACATTAATAAAGTACTCAAAAGATAACGTGTCTTTGCCTTAGCCTATCTAGCCAAGAATATAGAACTTAAGCTTTGTGTGCTCTTATACTAATTAAGGTTAGCCGATGGGAGAGGCCGATAAAACTGTTTGCAAAGGAAACATTTGCTGATCAAAATATGAACGATTATCGAAATTACGAACGTAATTTGTGCAAAGAAAGTGACAAAACAAAAACAACACACCTATCATCTAAGATTGATATTACTCTGACAGATTTATCTCACAACATTGTCCATTTCACAACATAACATTTAAACCTATACATAATATTTCAAATCATAACAGACCTAAGCACTTTTTTTAATGCAAAAATGAAACAGCGAAACTGCAGCTACCCTGTTAATTGAATATCATAGCCATATGGTTTATAAAAAGATCACTATCCTAGACATAAGTATACTAATTTGAATGTAACTAGGTTAAATACCTACCCTACATATTGAGTCATCGCAAAACTCATCCAACAAGTCGAAATGAAAATGCTGATTCATGTTTCGATGAGCTTCACATCAAATTTTTAAATAGGATTATTACGCGTCTATTTCTTATAAAACACGTTATCTTCTATGTTATTCGGAGATAAACGCTCACAAAATCACCTGATGTTTGAGATCACTTCGCCTGATCTAAACGTGTGGGTGTAGTGTAGAATAGATATACTTATATGTATTAAGTAAACCATACTATAAGTATGCCAACATATTACTTTGTGGAAGTAGCTTCGAGCGCTATTGAATGTTAAGTCATTATGTTTGTGGATAAAATGTATGAAGCATACCGACCAGTTTTGTTGAGTTTATGTTGTTGTCGGTCACGTAGGCATAAGAGTGAGAGATCCGATGAGCGAAGGAGAGGTAGCCGTTCATAGAGCAAATCATACTAGCGAGAACGAGACAGCTGGGTGGCGTGACAATAAAGATGGCGGCGCCGGTTGCCGGTGGGCTGGCCGGCTCATACCACGTGCGTACTAAGTACTGCGTCGTACAGCCGTTCCCGAACATTGTTTGTCAACAAACGCTAAGTGAAGGTCATTCATAGAAGGGTTAGAGACAAAAGCTGGATTACGAAACACCCTAAGAAAAAAATAAACAAAAATCTGTGTTATTAACTTGTACAATCCAATTTGTCTTACTCTAGCGCATGCACGAAGCAAGATTAAATAGCTAGTTTAACAGATTATTTTTATGTAGACCCTAATATTTCTATTCAAGGTCAATATTTTGTTAAAATAGGAGAAATCGTCTACGTGGAAAGTAACTTGGTACACGATTATAGTAATTAATCTACATCCTAAGTTTTATTTACCCTTTCACTACATATCTACTCAAAAGATGTACTTAAGTGAAACAAAGATATATAAAACACTTCACAGGTCGGTTATATCTACTTATAAAGCATGATTTGAGTTTATTCTAATTGAAACTTTGACAAATATAAACATATTAGGTAGTAGGTAATTATTTTAACGCCGCTGATGCAATGATCAATGTGTTAATTGTAACATAGTGTTTAATAAGTTACTTTGTGTATTGGATGTTAAAAGGTTTTTGTTTTGGATGATATGCGTATACACATTTTGATGCAGATGTTGTACTGAAGAGAAGAGATGACGAAGCAACATACATTGACGAACGCGAAGAGAAAAAATAAACGACAAAAAATGTAAACACGTCAGCGTGCGAGAGAGTACGCATGCGCGGGCGGGAGACCACAACGACGCAGAGCCCGAAGGGGAAGCGGGGTATGAAGGGAGCGGGGCAAAATGCGTCGCACCGCTGCTCCGAGCCGGCTGCGGCTGCTCTTTTCGTCAGTTGGATTTCAGAACATCGAACGGGCGGGCGTGTGTAGGATGGATAGCTAAAGATACCTCGGTTTTTTTTCATCCCGTCTTCTTACAGTGTTTGTTTAATACCTTCCGGCACACTATCCGTGAATCCTTCTCGACGGCGGTGCTTTTAAATTATTTTAGTATTTTGCGTTAATTTTCTAAATCTTGTCTTAACGCCTTTCCGATTTCACGTCGAGAAGGTGGCCGCTCAAGTTTGAAAGCGGCTATACAAGAGTAGCAACACCCACTCGTTACATTATTGTCGCTGTATCTAAGCATCAAGCAAACATCAGAATGGTTAAGAAGATATCTGAAGAAAGTGTAGATAGTGGTAAGTTACTTCTTTTTGATATAGAATTTGTCATGGCGAACAGCCGAGTGCGTTTCATAATTCTACTATTGTGTAATTTTTCCGTTTGTAGACAAGTTACGTGTTACTCCAGTTGGAACTGAAATAGATTGAAATTATACTAGATGAAATTTAGTTTGTTTTCTGTCGTTTCTCTAGTTTTTAATATCAATCAGTTATTCTTTACTGCTATGGGAATTAAGTAGATGACAGATTTATCAACATTAGCTTATCAAAGGTTTGGATTGTAAAACATAAATTGTATTAAAAGCGACAAAAATTACTCTTTTGATGAAAATAACTTGGTAATCATATGTTATAATAATTTATACTGATTTGCGCAAATTCGGTCTGTATTCTTTTGTTTTACAAGCGTTTATCGCTAAAAATTAAGGAAACAAACTATATTTCTTCCAACATATTGTTCGCAGTTTCCTACTTAATGTTGACGTTGCAATTCCTATTGCATTCACAATTGGATTCGTTGTTTTTGAATCGCTTAAAACATAGAATGCCTATTAATAAATCAATACCTACAAATGCAAAAAAATTAAAGAAAACGTACCTACTTGTTTAACGCTGTCCTATTTTCATTCGGCCGATATCGCTGACTTGGCAGAGGTCAATAATCTGTTAATCGGGTTAATTTGTCATCGCAAAGCGAGATTGCGTAATTAAAAACATATTACTTAGAAGACTTGATACTTCTGAAAGTAAAAAAGTTCACTAAATCCATTCGCTAATGTAATTTTATTTTATAAATTGATTTTCAAACTAAAGGTGATACAGTCGTGGACCTTCGCAAGTAAAGTTGGAAGAAATTTAACGAAGCAAAGGCCAATTGTAGCAGTCTCAAATGTCAGAGTTCATTTTGACGCCCGGACGATGACCGGTCACGGAACCCCGGTTGTTTCATAATACCCTTATTTTGAAACACTGTCTGAATCCGGGATGTTTACATAAATATCTTAACAGAAGGTTTTTCACGTCGCCTTCAACGAATATAGACAAATATTAACCAATAAATCGATTGCAAAAAACCTTATTTGTTTAGTTTGTATTATTATTTCCATTTTCTAGTCTATGCCTGTAAAGGCAGAACTTTATACCTCAATTTATCATGTGACTAGCGGTCGCCCGTGACTTCGTCAGGGCAGATTTAAAAAAAAACGTATTCTATAATATGCCCGCGTTCATCAGATATCTTCCGTCCAAATACCATCGCAATCGGTCCAGCCATTTCGGAGACTACCCGGAACAATCGCGGCCTTGTGGGCAGACAGGAAGAAAAAATTAAAAAAAACTGGTTTTTCGTTATCAGAAACGTAAATGCATTATGTGTAGGAAAGTAAACTTTTGGGATTTCTTTTTGCAATGTCGGTATAATAGTCGTTTTTTGACACTAAAATATTTACAGTACACATAGACTGAACAAGCTTTCAATAAACTATTTTGTTGTAATTTTTTACTTATATCATATTATTTAAATTATGTTTACGAAACGCCCACACAGTGCGTTAAAGCTAAGGCGACTTCATACATAACTTGCAAATGGCGACAATGCGTTTTAAATATTCTTAAAAACAGTTTATTAATAAGAATTCTAGTAAGAAAATCCAAATAAATAATGTGGACTATCCTTGATCGAAAACGATATCTCTGTCAAGATTAAATAGCTTCCTGAAGTAGATAGAAATGAAATCTTACGATTGGTAAACCTTAGTTTAAAGATTTAATATTTTGACACCCATATGTCCATATTATTCTTCCACACATGTACATGCCACACATGTACATGACACATGCCAGAACAGCTGGTAGTTCACATGATTCAAGCTAAAATGTCGAGTTAATTGGTACCAAATGTTTACTGAACACAATGTTAAATCTATTTTAATATATTTTCTCAGCATCAAAATTTCTAGTATAAATAGTATATTATATTATTCGACGAATTGTTCTTTAGTTTCTGTATTTCGTATGCAAATCAAAAAGTATTTTATCCAACTTAATAAATTCCAGGATTATAGGCACTGTATGTAATATTATCTTTTGGTCCTACTTTATACGCAAAGAAAGTGAAATACATAATAAGCTAAAGAGAAATTCATGTTTTGAGACGAGTTTTATATCAGAAACTTCCTTCCACATTTGTCGCATTTTATCACGTGTTTTCATGGGTATATAAATTCAATTTTCAATTATGGAATGCGTTTATAATTTGATAAAAGTTTAATTATAGTCGACGAAATGATTCCAACATGGCCGCTCGGGCGAGACGCCCCACGTCTACGGCCAAGGTCACCTCCTAACACCGAACGGCGCACTCGACTTGCATTCACACAAGTACTATAAAAATGGAGTAAGTTGGTATATAACGTGGTATTCGATGTTTGAAAGTATTTTAAATTTAAACGACCGCTATTGAATGAGGGTTACCGATACGATTTTAATAATGCCTAAACGCAATTGTATATACTTGGATTTATAATAATAATATGATCTGTTGCCATGATCTGTGAACTGTGTAAATTCTTATACAAAATGTTTATATGGAAAGTTTCACTAGTACCTAACTTTATGAAATATGGAAATTCCTATTAAAATACCTAATTTCTTGCAGAATGTAAACACGGTAATGTTATTATACATTTGTTTGTGTTATCGAATCGGAGTAACCTTGACCGTGACGGACTTATTGCTGCGTCATGCAGCCCCTCCCTCGCGCTCACCATACCCCGCCAGCGTCCAGCGCTGCGTCTCGTTTGCGAATCGATTTCTCGTTACACATGCACCGAACCCCCTGACATTCCCCTCTCTTGTACCGCCTACGCATCAATATTGCCTTTTATATTGCGTCAGTCCAATGTATCGCTAAATTTTTGCGTGTTTTGATGCGACTGCACATCAGCACGACTTACGATCAAATCTGCACTTTTGTAACAAAACTAAAGAGAGGTACTGGCGCGGCGGATGTAAAATGCGACCACACTTCCTTGATTTACTTGTCCATTCTCTTTTAATATTCATCATTTTTGTCATTAATCTTTGCAATCAAAATGGATCAGTGAAAGCGTAGTCAGTATCAAAAGCGCCCATCATTGTTCCACAGATAACGGGCCGAGTTGACAATGCCAGGCCTACTTGCCAATTACTTCAGCTTTCGTTTCACTATCAGATAGACTTCTGTGACTATTGGATATTTTAATCCTGCACTCGTAATTTTAATATATCTTGCTTGTGTCTGTGATTATTATTTACTTCTGAAAAAACCAACATTTCTAAGGATATATATCTTAGCCTTATACCTATTTTCTTACGTAAATTTCCAAGCAACTATTTCTTTTCTTTTGTGTACGTTCACGGCTGATGAGAAAAAAAATAATGTCAACTTACCATTTGAATTAAATTAATTAACATGCGAAATGTTTATAAATGTAGCTAAATCTCATGCGTATGTGATTAATCTAAAGTTGTTATTTAATATAGAATCCGTTACAGTAAGGGCATAAGTATGCAATTAGAAAGCCGCTGTACCGCCTAAGGGTATACAAAAGTATTGGGTTCGCGTCGATCGCTAAACGAGAGTGCATACAAATGCCCGCCAGATTAGAAAGTAGAAATTCAAAAGTCAAAGGCGCCATGTTGACAATTGCCCATTAAAAACATAAAATCTTACTAATATTATAAGTGCGAATGTTTAGATGGATGTTTGAAGGTATCTCCAGAACGACTGCATGGATTTTTCTAAAATTTGTAACAAGTAACAAGGCTACTAATTAAGCTTTTTTATTTCCCCGTGGACTAGTAACATATTCTTTATTTGAAATTCTTCTTTTCATACAACCTATTAGGTAAAAATCCGTGTATGGTATATTTTTTTATCATTAATAAATTTTTAATTTTCCCTTTATCATAGAATATTGTGAAAGCGTGGTCCTGTTATTATTGACACCAGTTCGTTACTTATACTTTGTTTAGTTATTATATAGCTGTCTAATCACTTTAGAAAGTAATTTTCACTAGCTTTTTCCAATGATTTCACCTCCACAGCGCTTGTAAACAGCCCACTCGTTGTTATTCATCTGCAGATAATATAGCAACGAATAAGAATTACAGATTATAAATATTCGCAGGGGACACAGAGACAGGGGATATTTCCTCTTCCTACGCATCCCTACTCCTCCGCCAAATCGACCTCGACCATCCATTTATTACATGAAAAGTGTGGGTAGGGGAAGAGGACTAAATTTTAGCATCCAGTAAGCACACTTACGAAACGCAAAATTTCTTCGACTTCAAGCCTTACTGAGAATGTTATCTATACTTTAATTTATCTCTTAAATCTCGTCATGTCTGTTAATACTGCAAGATGGCTGACGATTTCGAAAGACTTTGTTGAATCGATTCGACATCTGTTGCGTAATCGCCACGTTGACTGCGAGTTGCCTCATTCCGCCACGTGGCGCTACACGCAAACACGCCTCTTGTCTTTGATCAGCTTTTTTTTTCTTAGAAACATGCGATATAGTTATAAGTAAATAAGAGTATGCATTTTGATTAATGCTTTGATTACATTAAACACAATAAATAATTATTTTTTGCAATAAACACATTATTCGATGAGGATATTACTTTTGTAATTTGAAATTATTATGACCTAGTTGTCGTACTCAACTTTCTTCATTGTTATCAGAGCTCCGCTCAGAGTTGAACTCGAAATACTACAGAAACTGAGCAGAGCAGTTAAGTCTATGACTACTAAGTCACGAGGCCTTTGTAAGTAAACAATGACTAAATGTGAATTGTGAATCACGTAATGGAAAAAAATATCTAACATTTTTATACTTTAGATAAAATCGCTTTATATTCGCAATTAAATTGTCGAATTTATTTGTCACAACGGAAATGGACTAATTAAAAACAACTAAATTGTATACTTCATTACAATATGTCCTTGTTAGTTTGAAGTTTAAATGCGACATTTGTTTAACTAATCGTGATTATGCCGATGTGGGTGCGCCGTTCTTTGTTGAGCTACGATTGCGTTCTGTATAACAATGTTCAGAAGTTATTTTATTATGGTTTTTAACGACTCTTTGTTACGGTACGTTGAGTTATTCCGTTGAAAACTATAACCAAAACTAGTTGATATAGTAAGTGTACTGCGTTATTGTAAAACACATGGCAAGGACATTTATATATAACATATACTATAATCTTACTAATATTATAAATGCGAACATTTGGATGGACGGATAGATAGATGGATGGATGGATAGATATATGCTTAAACAAATGGTATGGTAATGGTATCTCCGGAACGGCTCAACGGATATTGATGAAATTTTGCACAGATATAGAACATACTCTGGAAGAACACATAGGCTATTAATTATTTTTTCTAATTCCGCGCGGATGACGTCGTGGGCGACAGTTACTCATAAATAAGTTAATATTTTTATGTGCAAATCTCACGGTTCAGAGTGGAAATATATGAATCTCTGGACTTTTTACCATTTGGGTAATTATTATCAACACATTGGGATTTGAGCTGCTAACCAACATCCAGGTCCGCTTCAGACTTTTTCATATACTAAATGTTTTAAAACGATACATTGTTAGTAATAGCATTTGTGGAGAGGGCTTATTAACAATGGTATAATGAAACGCAGTGCGTCGTTCGTATAATTAATATAGGAATATAGAGCAATTTGTAAACAGGAAACGTTCATATGAAATTGTCGATTGCGAGATAGTAGCACCACATAAAACGTTTTTAATTATTCCTATTACGATTCTAATGTTTAAAAATAGAATATATTTCAATTTAAAACGCAGTTAATTATTAGTAAAAAAATAAAAAAATAAAGAGCGTCGGTGGCTCAGGGGTCAAGCACTTGACTTGCAATCTGCAGGTCCTGGGTTCGAATCCATGAACCAATGTGTTTTTCGATTTCCGATTTACATATGTACATTTATCCGACGTTCTTGCGGTGAAGGAAAACTGCACATATCTGAGAAGAAATTCAAAGATATGTGTGAAGTCAACTAAACCGCACTTGGCCAGCGTGGTTGTCTATGGCCTAGTCACCTTTAACTCAGGGTCCGAGCCCCTCAGTAGGGACATATAGTGAGCTGATGATGAAATAAATAAATATAATTATTTTCAACCACTATTTTTTGTATGAGTAATAAATCTTATCTTCACTTGTGATAATAGATAAAGTAACCTTGTAAATGACTGAATTACATTTATATCACAAATGGTCAAGGATTTACATGATTTTAAGCGCATTTCTAAGTTATAATAATAATGAAGCCTTTTTATTTCCATATTTAAATAACTATTTACACGAGTAGTATTTTGTTAGTAATTTGCTTACATTTATATCAGTATTGTTAGATTTGTGGGTGAAGGCCACCATCTTTTCCAATCATTCCTGTTCCTGCCTAGAGACAATCCAGTCCCTCCCTACTTCATCTATAATGTCATCAGACCACCGTTTATTTGGCCTACCTACATATCTTTTTCCACTTGGCTATTTCTAAGTTAATACAATGTAATCACTCATCCAGATTGAAAAAAAAAACTCAAGAATAAAATATATAAAGAATTATAAATGCCACAGAGTATTAAACCACTACAACTGTATTTTTACCGCGTGGTTATATATAAACATATTGGTTTTATTTCAACCTTACAGTTCTTAAAATAGAGTATAAATTCCAATAACAAGACAGTTGTGATAGCGTATATATGTCACGTATTCTTTAGATACTGGCTTGTAATCATTATATCTGTATTCAAGACATAGATTGAGTAAAATATGAGGAAGAAATACATACATAACATACGATTCTGCCGTACGTCGTTAAGTATTTCCTTAATCATTCCTTAGTGTAGATTTCTCATATTAAATGTATATTTAGAATTTCTTAAAGTGTAACAGGCCTATAAAGGCTTTCAGAAACAAGGATTTAGTTTGTTATTGCAACGAAAGAATATTGCGTACTGCGTAATTATACGTATGATTTGTTGCTTTGTTTCATTAATTATACAATTTACGATAATAGACTAACTATTGTTAAATAGTAATTACGTAGAGATACAGTTCAGTATTCAAATAGTGTAGCAATTTCAAGAGTTAAACGACGCGTTGGGGACCTGTCTTATAATATAAGTTCTATAATTTTTAGGTCTACTAGTAATAAAACTTTTTTGACAGCCGTAAATTCAAATTTCTAGTATAACAGTTTTATTTGTTTACCACATTTCTCTAACTCCGTATCATGAATGAACTTTAAATTTATCCCGGACAACATTAAATCTTACTACTGACTAGTATAGAGGTAGATAGAATCCAAGACCTCGAGCATACGTGGGCAGCGGCCGCTGGGTGCGCCGGTCACCGACCCCGCTTTGTTTGCCAACTCAGCTGCAGTCACGCCACGCTACGATACGTCACATAGTATTCATGCCGATTGACGACATCTGTACCCTTCGATAAAAACCTTTTTGTTCCCCAGCCATTATATTTGTTTAATTGTAATATTATTATGACACAAAAAACTATTATTTGATCATGCACAAACTGACATAATAAATAAAATATCTAAATTCCAGTGTAATAATATAAGAGGCGGTAAATATAGTAAAGTACAGACCAAAGGATAATTGGTCTACTAATTACTAGAAGAGTCAGCGTTTAAACTAGGCTAAATTCTTCAAAACAACGTCAACTCTAGTCAGCGAAATGAAAAATTGCTAAAATAGCAAAATAAGATAAACTGAGAAAGAAAGTTGTGTAATTCAAATAAATATTGGAAAAAATAGCCCGTTATTCAAGATAGCATTTTTTTATTTAAAAAAAAAAACAAATAAATACGCATTTGTATTATAATGCATGACGTTTTGTTTCACAGATAAAATATTACATCAGTGTTCTAATAAATGTTACACGAATTTAGATCAATTCTACAAGACCTACAAAGCGTGCAGCTAACGGCTACTCTGTTACGGTGAATTTAATTTACGTACTTGCATATGCGTGATTTAAATATCAATTTAATTCCATTTAAAACTTAAATGATTTTTTCTTCATTTTGATCTTATAAATAAACGGCTGTCGTTATTTAGTTCAAATTTCGAATTCAATGACATGCAAAATGTAAACAATCGGTTGCCATGGAGATCTGAAAGGGAGCCGAACGACAAAAGAGTTCGTACGCCAAGGACATATGAGATTTCTTATTTATTTTGTCCGTGCAAAATGTGTACCAAAATGACAGCTTTAATGTCACAAATGTTGAACCAGTGAAATTGGAAATAATTTACAGTTTCATAAATAAAGTGTATTATTACTTTTAACAGAACGATTTAGATATGAGATATAAACTAATTATTAATTTAACTTTCTACAAAGTAAAAGTGTAGCTGTATAATAGGTTCAATAAAATGAGTTTTCAAGGTAAATTGAATTTTTTTTATGGAAGCATTGAATAGAAATTGTACCAACTTATCGTGTGAACGCATTAGTAAATTAGTCTGCAAAAACTTAATACCTACGCAGGCGATTTGGATTTCTCGTCCGTCCTTACTATTATTCTAATTTAATGGTTCACAACTGGAAACTAGTTTCTTCTAGAAGCGAATTATTGATTTCATGACTACTATTTAATATGACGCACGTTGTTCCTAAAACGACGCACACATGTTAATGTATTTACATAAAATATTCCTCTAATCAACAGGAAGTTTGATGTCTCTTCTTATCTTTGTATGTATCATTTGGTCTGTTTAATTGATCCGACTTGAAATTTCATAAAAACCCAGTTCCAATGTAAATGTCCATCCTAATTTCACACTTACAGTGGTTAACCTGCAGAATTTGTGTTGTTGCAGGAGTAGGCCGCTGCAGCAGCCAGTCGGGCAGCGAGCGTGACTCGGACGGCGGCAGCGGTGCGCGGGCTGAGCCCTCCGCTCCCATGGCCATCGCCGACAGCGAGGAGCTGCAGCGCCGCAAGGAGGAGGCCCGCAGGAAGCGCCGCAGGAAGAAGCGCTCCGGCAGCTCCGTCGTCACTTCGTGCTTCCAAGGTCAGGCTCAATTCTCTTACAATATTACCAATGCGACGGAAAGAAGCGTGTCTATTACTTTTAGAGATGTACTTCTGTAGAATATATGATTATTTTTTTTCTTTCGACGACGTGGCTTCCATCAAAAAATAAATTAAACTTAAATGTGGTGCTCTTTAGTCGTTACGTAAATAACTTTAGGTAAATAAGTAAGTAAGAATGATGTAGAATTTCCACTTTTAATTAAATCGTACTAAGTAAAAAAAATATTTGTTATTCAAATGAAATCGACCTCATTCCTTTCAATTCAAGATTGCGTTTTGATTAAAACAAATTATCGAAATAAAGACATTGATAACCTGAATACCTAAGTTAAATAATTTTACCGGCAATTATTTTACCATTTTCCTTTTTTTTATAGCTTTTTAAATTATGTTGTCTTACTTATTGTATTATAATTATGTTAATAATGCTATTCTAAAGATATAAAAATAGAATCATTACAAGTCGACGTCATACCGAGTAATTAAATTATATCCAAACAGAACTACGATAGACTAAGTGTCCTCAAAACTGGACTAATGTCAATATGTTGACATAAAAACTTCCTTAATTATCATTTTTGGTCAATATTAAATGTTTTACAAGGAAATTACGTCTACAAATATAGTACAGCGTAGGAGTTTATTTTGGTCCAGTAAGACTTTAGTACTACATAATATTTTAGTCATTAAATATTCAAGCAAAATCCATAAACAGGTATATAAAAATCAAAAGGATTCTCTCTACATATATGGATATTATGAGGTCATGTTGTCGCCCACTGACCGTACCTTATTAGCTAGCCAGTCTGCATACAGTCTTCAAACGTATTAGTCATATGATAAAATGTTCTATGTCTGTTGTCGAGTTAAACAATGCAGATATTTTAAAAAATGTACAAAGAATTATATTCACTTCCCACTTAGGATCGATAATCAAACAGCACAGTCATAATGCGATCTATTATGTAACGAATGTTTGTTGCTATGAAAAATCTTACTTAAACGTGAGTAAAATTTCATGTAGTCATTTTACCGATGGGTAGGAAATAAACTTCCTTAACTGTATAATCAATGCATAGTAACAGTTAGGTAATTGGCGAGCCAGACATACGAATACATTGCTAGGGCTTCAGTCGGATGTTTTTGCTTACCTTCAACTGTTGTATAAGCATTCGCAAAGCTATTGTTCTCATTACTGTAATTACGTACGGTAAAGACGTATATTTGTCAACATTTTCACGAGAAAATATCTATCAATATTATTACATTGTTTTATGTTTCACCCTTATTATGTAATTGTTTGTGGAATTATTTTGTTCAACACTGACCAATTCTTTAGTCGTGAGAACTAAAAACTATTCTCTGTTGTATGTATAATAAAAAACTAGAGTAGTAGCAATTGTTAACAAGTGATTAAACATTATTCAAATTATAATCTGCCTTTGTCGTGTCCGCACCCTCGACGAAATGAAATTGCTTTTGTCCACACATGTTGATGGAAATTAGGGAGCAATTCTCTGAGCGGATTCTATTGGTCAAGGGTACAACCCTAGCTAAAACTTGTCCAAACAGCAATGTTAATACATCGAAATATTGCGTCATTTGTAAATGTAATGATAAACATTGAATGACGTCATTGTTTATGTACAGTTTATTGGAAAGTTTTTATAAAGAAAACATATTGAATTTCCATATATCTCGCGTAATTTTCGTGTTTTCGTCTGTCTCATGATAAGAGTTATCTATAATAAATTATTCTATTAGCAGAAATATAAGAAAGGACTAACTAATAGACTATATATCAACTTTGGATAAGCTTGATAATTAATATAGCAAAGCGGCTACACAGACAATAGAGAATATTAAGTGTTTGTTTGTTTTGATACAGATCTGTACAAGCTGACAGGGGAGGTGCTGGGCGAGGGCGCGTACGCATCTGTGCAGACATGCGTCAACATCTACACGGGCCGAGAGTTTGCAGTGAAGATCATAGACAAGGTGCCCGGCCACGCCCGCGCCCGGGTGTTCCGCGAGGTGGAGACATTCCACTACTGTCAGGGACACCCCAACATCATCCAGCTCATTGAATTCTTTGAGGACACCGACAAGTTCTATCTTGTCTTTGAAAAGGTAATTATCTTTCTCATTATAAGAATGATTGGCTATGGTATGGGATATGACCGATAATCTTGATTCCTGGCGATAACTTACGTATTTGTAGCTTAAGGAGTACTTGCTCCTTAGTCGATATTAAATTTCGGTAGGGACTAACTAGCGTTTCACTAACATTCGCATGTTATGCCAAAAGTAATTTTTTATTCTTTGCAAAAATGACAAAAACACAATTTAGTTTGGTACTGTATTATGTTTCATTTTGTTTCATTATTCTGTTAAGTTTTACATATGGACAATAAGAGTTGCTTATGTTATTGTTAAAAAGTACGGTGTATTTTTTAATAGTTTTATTTCAAATTTATTAGATAAACAAATCTGATTAGGAATATTTTACTATACTAAAGTACTTCTAATACAATTTGTATTAGGTATTTATATCTTAACGCATAAATTTCCATCCATTTTGTTATCAAATCCGGCATGATATCTATCGTATGTTCTAACCGATTTATTATGATAGTTTATTTTGAGATTTTTATATATTCAAATAATGATGCCGCATGGGATTTAAACCTATTTAACAAATTCATAATTTTAAGCATAGTATCATAATGTAACAAAGTATCTAATTTATTTGATGTTATATTTATACAAAATCCTAGGTTACCATTAGATCCTCTATAGATTATATCAGTCTTCAAAGTCGATTCAATCATTGCTAGGTGAACCCATGTTTATTTGCTCCTTAACACAATCTCTTTACGAACGAAGTGTATATATCGTGTGTATATGACGTAAACACTGCGCCACTAGAATGTCAAACACCTGTAGCTAGTTGCTATACAGTTCATTCCACCGTTCCAGAAAGTTCGATGCGTCACGCCCACTTAGATACGCTTTTCTTGTATAGCACATGTTGTGTACTTTATAAATATTATAAATTGACACATTTCATACATTGATTCAAGTGTTTTGATTGATAAATTTATTTTTACTTTTACAATGTTTATTTGGTAGATGTGTACCTATCCTACTTTGTTATAGGTACATAAGTAAATGTCTTGTTGAATAACTTATGTAAAATAGAACATGGCATTACTTATGTGAGCTGCTTACGTCTTTGATGCCTGTCAACAAAAATGCAGATTGTTGCGTCACAAAACACTTCCGTGCCAATTCAACAGCAATCGTACTTTCTTACAACGTTTATAGAATTTAATGGAAAATTATGAGAAATATATCTTGTCGAACATCGGAAGTGAAATGACATGTAACTTGAATTACCGCTTAAATTATCGAGTTTGAACCGATCTAAAGATCGCAATAGTTATCTAAAAACATGATCTTTTTTATATCATAAGGTGCCAAATGAGCGAGCGGCCGCCTGAAATCGCTGAAATAGCGAAGTGACCGTTGCCCATAGACATACGCAATTGCATATACCTTTAATCGACGGAGGAGAGGATAGACAGAAATAAAATATTTTCCCTTTCCATCCATCCTCTCATACGGAAAGTCCACTTCCACTTCCCATCCTTTCCTTATAAGAAAAAGGGTGGGTAGGTAAGGAGGACTAAATTAGGCCTCTGAGACGCACACTAATCAAACGAAACGCGGAATTGCTTCCACTTCACACATGTCTTCTGTGTGATCTATGTTTAGAGGGCAATTGAATAGTTTCATGTACTTACTTCGGATTGTATTACGTAATTATAATATTATTCAGTACGATCTTAATAATAGAATATTGATAACGGATATTAAAAGTTAAATAACAATGTTACTTAAAAACAGACATTAGTGACTCACATCGGGGCGCGTGTTGTCGCGTGTTGACACATTCAACACTTTTAGCGTATGATAATGTATCATTGTTTGGGGAATGTTCCGCCGATTTACCTCATTGTGATGTAAACAAATGTATGTAAACATAACTCATGTGGGGGCTTCGTTAGCACATGACAAGGTGACACTGTCCATACAGACAATAGCGATGTGTTTTGATTATCAGAATTTTTATAACGATATTTGAATTTAGCATTAGTGATCAAATCTTACGATCAGTTACAAATCATATGAGATCTTTAAAGAGATGTTATCCTTTCCCTCGCATAGGTCGTAGTGTGGTTAAAACATGTTTTCACACTAAATTACGACTTAGGGGCCTTCAAGAAAAGAGTGTACACCTTCCTTAAAGGCCGGCAACGCATCTGCGGTTCCACTGGCGTTGCGGATGTCCATGGGCGTCGGATCAAATAATATTAGGCGATTCCTTGCTCGTTTGCCCCCTTCTCCGATAAGAAAATAAGTTGACATTTGTTTTGTATTGTTTCAGATCAACGGTGGTCAGCTGCTGTCGCGTATCCAGGAGCATCATTATTTCTCGGAGCCGCAGGCGGCTGAGATAGTGCGCGAGATCGCAAACGCGCTGCACTTCCTGCACGGCAAGGGTGTGGCTCACCGCGACCTCAAGCCGGAGAACATCCTGTGCGTGCACCGCGACAGACTGTGCCCCGTCAAGATCTGCGACTTCGATCTCGGCAGCGGCATCAGCTTCACCTCCAGCCTCGCCAGCCCGCTCGCCACGCCGCAGCTCATGACACCGGTATGCGTAAACACATTAACTCACAGATATATTATGACACTCGTGACGATAACATTGTTATGACATTGAACGTCGAAGTGTCTGCCGGATACTAAAAATAATAATAAAAAATCTTTTTCAACCATAGTAAGACTAAATAAAACTAAAATGTCGATGTTAAAGTTGTCTAGTATGAAACAATAACATATCTCACGCCCGTAAGCCCGAGGGGTAGACAGAGACCACGGACTTTCCTTTGGCTGACACACCTCCCTCGTTTTATTCATACTTCTACGCAAACATCGGTTTCGGATGTTCTTAAGACTGCCCTTCTTGAGTATTTCATATAAACACGTGTACTTTAAAATGAAATGAAAATGTAGATCGAAGAGTTAACAATACGTTTATTTGTTAGGTGGGCAGCGCGGAGTTCATGGCGCCGGAGGTGGTGTCGCTGTTCGCGGGCTCTGCGGCGACGCACTACGACAAGCGGTGCGACTTGTGGTCGCTCGGCGTGATCGCTTACATACTGCTGTGCGGTTATCCGCCGTTCCGCGCCGACTGCGGCAACGACTGCGGCTGGGAGCGCGGCGAGAACTGTCGCGCCTGTCAGGAGCTGCTCTTCACCACTATACAGGTACGTGCACCAACATAACCCAACTTTACGCATATAAGTACTAAAATCACATCCGCCAAAGACATATGAACTTACATCAACAATACAGCTAGTAAAGAAAGTACCAAATGTTAAAGATTTTCTGTTTGTGACCTTCGTATGTTTGTATTACAGGAGGGTCGATATTCATTCCCGGAGGAGGAGTGGGCCAACATATCTTGGGAGGCGAAGGAGCTGATCGGGCAACTACTGGTACGTGAAGCTTCGCATCGGCTGAGTGCCGAGCGCGTGCTGCAGCACCCCTGGCTGCGCCGCGCCGGCCCAGCCGACAGCCGCGCCGCGCCGCCGCTCAACACCCCGCGCAACATGCAGCGGTATGTATACACTGACTCTAACACTATCTTTGAAATCTCTTCTATAAGCAACTTTTTGTTTGTCAATGGGCTACTTGGTCTTACAAATTTACAGTATCAAAATCACTAGATAGCGCAATATTTACAAATGTCTCTTCCATAAAAAAATTAAGCAATTTTTATAAATTGTATTGTTAAACATTTGTATTGTATTGTTACAGCAATATGTCGGCTCGCAACCTGTCCAACTTCGCGGAATCGGCGATGGCGGTGAACCGCGTCATTCAGCAGCACTTCTCCATGAACTACTCGTACATGGAGCGTCCGGCGGGCGCGCTGCGCTCCAGCAAGTCGTGCCACCCCAGCCCCGACATCTTCGAGGACGAGCTGGAGCGTGCCGGCGTCGCGCTGCAGCGCTGCATGGACGAGTGCTGCCCGCCGCTCGGTCTCTCGCCGCCGACCGAGTCCCAGCTGCTGCGTCGTCGTCTGCAGCAGCCGACCGACAAGTCTGTGCAAGTGCACTAAACCACCCCCCCACCGCCACCGATACGCCCTCAACGATCATGCTACCGACCTACAAGTGAAACGTCATACTAAAGACAGTTCTATTATCTAGTTTGTGAGCGGATGAATCCAAGTAAACCTTGTAAGGAGTAGTATATTTGTCTGTAACTTTAGCTGTAAGCACATGGGTCGGCTTTATGCTTAAAGTGTCCGGTTTGGGATCTGAGGACTCGAATGTCTTGCTAGTGTTTGTGCACTGTACCCGCCGATTTGCCTCGGCCAACATTGTGCGGTTGTGCTTCTCGGTCTCCCCTGTGACGTCACACCTAGCGAACGAACACGCCGCGAGCGCGTGTCAGTGATCCGTCACATTCCATCGAACGCCGCAGTACAAGATTCGATCCCCACCGCGTTGTGAAGACCCCCCTAATGTATCGCTTGCGACCGCAACTAAAGATCCTTGTCAAAACATAAAAAACTAATTTCGCACTCGATTTTATTGTTAATAAAAAACTTTGAGTACAATTTATACCTCGAAAGTCTATGCAAAGTTCATTTTTTTAAATTTTAATTGTCTAGTGTGAAATTAGCATAAAAACGTAAAAAAAACATTTGGAGAGTATATTTAGGTTAGTATATAGGCAAAGATCTGTCGCTGGTGTCGCAAGCGACCTAGGACAGTTATTTAAAAAGTCGCTGCAACGTCCGATCAAAGCTTAAGATTCAGGTAGATGTTTCGAATCTTGTCGCAACATGAAGTTAAACCGATGTTTACTATATGTTATAATTTGAAAGAAGGGCTAAAAATGTACCTAATAATATAACTGCTGTTTTTGTTTATTGTTTTGTAGATTATTAATATTTGTAAATTAACTTACTGACAATTGATGGTTCGAATTCCAGTGGTTTCATACGGTTAGCCAAATAGTGTCGACTCGTAAATACCGTTCCGTTAAGAGCATGATTTATTGATGTTCAATAAAGCATTAAATTGAACGGCTAGTTAGATACTAGGCATTTCCGGTGTCGGCTTTTATGTGACTTCGACATAAAATTCGGCTAATATTTGTCCCAAGCCGAGTGTAAGAAGTTGCAATATAAGTAGTGGATGGGGCGTTGCGGCCACTGGACCGAGCGACGGCGACGGCACTTCTTCCAGTGAGACACGTTCGTTCGCGACTCTACTGTCAACGGTACTTATACCTTTAACAGTTTTATTTGAGCCTTTTAAAGATATATTTTTATGGATAAATAAAAACGACTGAATAGTTTTTATCGATATGTAGATTGTATTTGTGAGTTTGTTGCGGAGACCGTTGGTCGATAAAATCGTATTATATGAAACATAGTTGTGCTGAACTGTACATTATATTCGATAACAGATTATTTTCATTTTGTTTTTCTCTCCGGATTTATGAAATCCGCTGTACAGAGAGGAGCTTATTGTGTGATCGACTTCCGTTCGTGGCCTATCCTTTATTTTGTTGTATAAAAACGATGTGTTAAATTTTGTTACTTTTCGATAGCGTGTTCGGAAACTAGTCTGTTATGTGATTGTTTTGCATTTTTACCAACCAACCACATCTCATTAATTAAGATTGAATCGAGCTAAGTTTTATACGGGAGTCAAGAGAAATATGTGACATTTTGGCTTAAGAATGTTTCGAGACTGCAGTCCGGCGCATGTATAAAATATATTTATGTTATTAGTAATACATACTATATAAATTCTAGGGTGAAAATATCTGTCTTAATTAGGAGTAAGCAAAATCTCTGTAGTAGGATCTACATCAAAGTATTTTGAATCTTTAAAATTTTAGACTACACAACACCCAATGTGTCTTCCATTGTTTTGTTACAAATTTACAACAAAAAAAATGTCAAATCAAAGCAGTTTATAAAATCATTTTGGAATTGTAATTCAATTGTTTTTCATATGTTTAAATCTGTATACATGTACTCGAATGTAGTAAGCCAGAAATGGGGGGTGTTTCGCTTTTTTTATAGAAATATAATTAATTTTGTACTTGTTGTGAAAGGGAGACCTTGTGAACTGAATTAAATGAAATGTCATATATTTTGTTCTACTTGAACAGTGTTGGTTAAGTGTTGCATGGTGTTCCATGGAGCTGCCATATAATTGTGATCAGTTTGAATACTTTTTGTAATAACGGAGAATGAAGTGTTGAGATAATGTTAAGAGTAGACCTGCTAGTTTGTAATCCTGCATGGAAGTTTGATTGGGGGAGAGGTGAGCGCAGCGCCACCTATGTTAGAACATTATAATTTCTATTTCCACAAATTTTATGTATTTTTCTTTATCAATTGTAATTGTAATGTTTTTTTTAACCTCTCCGTTGGCTTTATCCAATCAAATTGAAACTTTCGCAGAACTTTGTTAAAATTTTGTTTCGACTAAATCATTGATTTAAAACTCATTGAAATACAAATGTTTGAATTTCCAAAAGTGTGTTTTAATAAACCTTTAAATCCCAATTTCCTAGTAGGTACCTGGAAAAAAGTGAATTGCAGATGCGATGCCTAAAATTAAAGTAACGCAAATAAATAGAAAATAGAGTTTTACCTTTCTATTCCTTCTTTTGTTAAATCATTATCCCTTTTCCCTCTTTATTAGTAAAACAACATAAAATGTTATTTGCAATCTGTGGCAATACCAAAATGTACTCCGACTCGGAAGATAGAAATCCTCGTCATAATGTGGAAAACATATAGAACAAAGAGTAAGTATAGTCCAGTAATTATAAGTAAGTAGTATAGTCTGGTATGAAATTAATTATAATGGCAAAAGCAGTTTCATTAAAAATGAGTTGTAAAAGTAAAAAAGAATATCTGGGCCAGTGGGAGAGGCGCTGCTATTACAGTAAATTCTATATCTATCTAAATGTAATTGTAAAACTTAAATGTGCATTGAAAATGGCATAAAAGACATGACAGCTATAGTATGAAAAGGATCTTGTAACTTTTGATGTTGACAGAAGGGCGCTAGTGAGCTGTCTATAAGTCTATAATTTAGTTTAATGTTCACCGGGACAGATATCCGTGTTGACCTATAATATAATGTCAAACGCCCTCTTGGCAGGTTTAATATATTCGTAGTCGGACTACACTGGGTAATTTATAAAGAAAGTACATTAGTTATTGAATAGTATAGTAAAAATATAAGATATATGGGCAGGCTTTCGTCGCCAGACTCATATAACGAGATGCAAATAGCCTTATTACATCGTGATTATCTTTACTGCATTCAGAATGATTTATGTAATGCGTTTCGAAACACTTGATTAGTTGTGTCAGTTATTTGTTTTATATTAAAATGAAATTAAAAAAAATCAGTAAAATATAAAAATGATCATGTTATTGTGAGCTGTCTTTGCAAACGAAACAGTTTTGACGTGCCAAGTCAAAAATCAATTAATTATTCCAGTAGAGGGCGCTTTTAATCGCTCGGCCACGTAAGTCAGGGTTGTATTTTCCTTCACTGTGTTATTTTATTACGTTAATTCCACCTTACGGGATAATATGTGAGAATGTTATAGCATTACAAAGAGTGTAAAATAAATTTCCTGTGTTGTTACTTCCCCTGGACTGAGGTAAGTCAGTTTAAAGTTACGTCCTTCTGTCATTTTCAGTGAATTAGCATTAATTAAAAATCCTTGTCGATAAGAACTATTTTATCGTAAAATAAACATAAGACAAATACAGTGCATTAAAAGTTTCGTGATATTTTTGAACAAAGCCTTTCATATCGTTTTCAGATTGACAAACATGTCAAACTTTCAACCAAGTCCGTACAACAATATCTCGGGAGTGCCACAGACAAATGCGCAGCCCGGGCCACAATATGCCAACCAATATAATCCGACGTCACAGCCGTCAATATTAAAGCAAGATGCTAACTCGAATAGTCCTGTGCCTGGATTTGTTAGCCCCACTAACCAGAGCAAAGTAAATCACTTTAATCAGAGCGCAAGCAGTTCGCCCGCTTTCAATCAGTCGGGAATGATGAATCAACCAATTCCCGCCTTCAATTCATCACCATTGAGACCACCAATCAAACCCTCTATAGGAAGTTCAAATCAAAACTTATTCCAAAACATTCCTTCATCTTCAGCTAATCCCAATTCCAACGCTTTGCCCTACCATCCCAAATACCAAGAGCAGCAACAAATAAATCATAATACTCCACCTCTTCTTCCATCTAGTCAATTCAATCAACCACTAATTAATGGTCCACCCTCATTACCACCACAAATAAACCAACAAACAATGCAACATACACCTATGACTTCACCACCATCATGTTCCTACAGCCCTGTTATTAACAAGCCACCTGTGACTTCTACCAACTTATTAGGCCCAATGAATCCCTCAATACCACCAACTTATTACCCTCCTGTATCAGTACCACCTGGCCCTTTGACTAGTCAACCTAGTACTTCATATTCAGGTCCTTTACAAAATAGTCCTTTAATATCAGGTCCACCCATGACTCGACCTCCTATCTCCACTGGGCTAATTGGTCAAATAGGGAATCCAAGGCCAATAGGAGTTAATGGTCCAATTGGTCCCATGCCTGGCCAGATAAGGCCTAACACTGGTCTATCTGGGCCAACTTCTCTTCCACCAACAACAGGTTTGATGAAGCCACCTATAGGGCCGCAAATTGGAAGCCAACAATTCCCCCCTCAACATAACAATGGATTAGTAGGACCAAACACAACAATGGGTGTACCTGGACCAAGACCACAAATGTACAGTGGTCCTTCTAGTTTACCTATGGGGCCATTGCCACCGCAGCCTAGTATGAATCAAATCCCCAATGCTGGGCTGCCTTCGGGACCTTTACCGGGACCTCCTAAATCAAACATACAGAACAGATATCCGCAAATGCCTCAAAGCAGCTCTGCTAGTCAGCAACCTATGATGCCACCACAGCCAGTGGGCAAGCAGTTCCAGACTCCATATACTGCTCAAGCAATGACGCAGCAAATGGGCCAGCTGAGTGTGACAAAGCAAGGTTTTGACCAGTTATGGGGTCACCAGATGATGGATTTACTTCAATGCAGACATATACTGCCAGAATACCCTGAGGATCCACCAGAAATAAGACTCAGCCACCAGTTTGCGGATGCTCCCAATTGCAGTCCTGAGTAAGTACTATTTGTTTTTACATAATCATTTATAATAAGTAGAAGTTCTTATAAGTTTGAATTCATAGTTTGTGCATATTTATTACTTTAAACCTTTGTTTTCCGAGAACAAAATCTCTGTATAAAGCATATTTTTATCCCTGTGCTTATTTGACAAAATAGATATAACAATATGTTTTAAAGGAAGTTTTTGGTTTGAGTTACCTATAGTAAGTAATTTTTCTTAAAATTTTGGTTACCTATTGGGTTTAAAAGTTCTGCATTTGCTCCTAAACCTTGACCTAGGATGATAGTTATTATCGTACAGATATGTGAAATAGGCTAGGCTAGTTAGCATTGTTAAAATGCTTTGTAATTACAAGGACAAGATAATTCTATCATAAGCTTACATTCTTTGTTTTCATTGTTATTGTGACTTCTATTGTAATATAAAACTATATATCATACTATGTATTTGAATTCCAAAATTATTGCATAATTATTATTTATATTACATGAAATAAATTATATTTGACTTTATCATATCTCTTACAATAATTCATTAATACATTTTTTGAAATATTTTTAGTAAAAATATAATTTTGGATAACATTATGATTTGTCTGCATTTTTTGCATTCCAATGTCATTCCAGTCCATTAATTCTGTAAACCCAATCTATTTATGGATCTTTAAAAAGTAAACTATATTATTCTTACTAGTATTATAAATGCAAAGGTTTGGATGGATGGATGCGTGTTTAAAGATATCTCCAGAACGACTCAATGGATCTTGATGAAATTTGGCACATATGTAGAACATAATCTGAAAGGACACATAGGCTACTTTCTAAGTTTTACGACAGCTATTTGATATAATAAGTCCAGCTTTTTGTTGTATATAAAATGATAACATTGTATACTATTTAACACGTCAAGTGCTATTTTATCAGACAGATTTATGATAGACACTATCTATTGAATTGCTTAATATGGTAGATTTAACTATTGTCCATAAGAATTACTAAGTTTATTTGAGATAAAATTTTTTCAAATAAAAGTACTCTGACTGCTTTAGGCATTAAACAAATCTTACTAATATTATAAATGTGACTGTTTAGATGGATGGATGGATGTTTGTTTAAAGGTATCTTCAAAATGGCTTAATGGATCTCCGTGAAATTTGGCGCCTATGTAAAACATAGTCTGGAAGAACATATAGTCAAGTAATTAAGTTTTTTTTTAATTTCGCGAGGTCAGAGTCCCTGGCGACTGCTAGTAAATAATATAAATTAATTTAAATCTATAGTTAAGTTGGATGATTCACCTTCAAATATGACAATCAAGGTATCAATGTCACTTTCTAAAAAAAAACTACGATGTATTAAAAGCAGTTTGTCTGTGTAAACTTAAGTGAGCGTAAACTTTGATAAACATTGTGTACAAATCATTGAAATGTCATTTTATCTTAACTACCTAATTAAGAACTTTACTCTTGGAACTAGTAGTAATATGAGCTACGTTTTTATTCATGTTACTTATGATAAAGTTTATCCTTCTTTTTAGTCTAATACTAGCTGTTTTACTCCGTCAGCATGGAATTAAAAAAAAAATAATTAGTAGCCTATGTGTTCTTCCACACTATGTTTTACGTGTATGCCAATTTTCAGTGAGATCTATGAAGCCTTTCTAGTGATACATTTCAAAAGACATCCTTCCATCTATCCATCCATCCAAACATTCACATTTATAATATAAGTAAGATTAGTAAGTTTTTAATTGGCTTTTCAGATTATTAGACCTTTTATCAATAAATAAGATATTGTTTATACTGACGAAAAGAAATGATTTTAATGCAATAAAATTACATTTAAAATTATCGTGTCACTATATTAGTTACCATAGTCGTCAGAATTGGATTTTTCATTAATTTTATATGCATATTTAGAAGGTCTAAGAATCGGCTGTTATTTATGCGCGGACGGAGTTACGTGCGATAGCTAGTACTTCTATAAATGTTTGGTTCTTTTAATTTACCATGTATAATAAAGTTACAGATTATTAATTAACCAATTAAAGTTTGGTATATTTTTTGATAGTCTGTTGATAATTCTCAGACTGATTTAAATAAATTTGCATTTATTGTCAATGCATTGAATAGATTACGTGTTACTATATGCAGTGTTTCTTTCCCACAATAAATTAAAATATTTTATAACTTTGTTGATCACCGAATCGATGAAAGGAAGCAATTTTATGAATATTTTATTAATAATGTTTTTGTTTGCAGAATCTTCCGATGTACGGTAAACCGGATAC